ACTTATGGCCTACTATTACCTGTGTCTAAGTGACCTTTGACCCCTGGAATTTTTCATCTCCATCTGTAGCTACCCGAGTATTTTCGACGCCGTTTCGAGAGTTTGTGGAGTAAACCATAACCAAAAATCTGGCGCTCGAGAACTGCCCGTAACTAACTAGTGTCATTTGTAAGGAACCGTTTTCTCTGTGGCGAGAAACCCCCTTACTCACTTATTTTTTCATTTATTGATAGTTATAGAAAATATATATATTTGAAATTCGAAGTAATGGTGCAAGAAATCTGGGAACTCAGCTATCCAGTAGATATGTAGTAGTCGTTGGTAAAGCAGTACGTATCAAAATATGATTTTGAGGTTAAAAATTACTATTTAAAGATGTTTTAAATGTTAACACAAAAATTATAGAAAATTAAATGAAAAATGCCACATAGTCGTCGAAAAACGGGGTGTTGATAACAGATAAAATTACATCTAGGTATGAATATTATTTGTAATTTTTTTTACTATTACACAGATTTTTTTGTATTAAAGGCCTGTTGATAGCTATAAAGCCGAAACTAGTTGCCTTCTAATTAAATAAAGTTTACAGTTGGTATGTATTTTGAGTTTATTAATTCCTTTAATATATATATGTTAAAACAGATTTATTTATTGTTAATTTCGTAGTGATTATACATATAACAGTAAAGCTTTGCATTAAATCATTTTTAATATGAAACCGAGTGTTTATAATTACTCTAAAACTTGCCTAATAACTTTATTAATATGATGGGGTTGGGACAAAGTTCTCCAGATAGAATCTTTTGTTGAATTTAGTAATTAGGTTTCATTTTGTGAGTTCACTGTATTGTTGACATTCTCTCTCACTCGTATTTGTCTTGAAAGGGTAATTAAAGTTTGGGAGAGTTCGTGCTGGCAACTGTACCTACAGGTAGAATCGGATTCGGGCTTAAGTCGAATTGGACAAGTTTATTTAAATTAGTTTGTATTAAAACATTGTGTCGGATTTGGGTGTAATAAATAATTCCCTCTGTGTTAAGCGTGTTTCGAGTTGTGTTGTTTACAAAAACATGCACCAGGTTAAAGTTTGCACTCAGAGTTTCGCATGTTTGTGGGATTAAAGATTACTATTTTATCCGTTATATTTGAATTTATAGTCCTTTAAAGTTAAGTAATAAACTATAAAAGCTATCCCATAAATTTAAAAGGTGTCCTTAATAATATTAACTCATATAGTTTTACTATCCTCCATCACTATACTTGTGAAAGTGAAAATACAGTATGAAGCAAATATATGGAATAAATTCATTATTTAAAAAATAGGACTTTTGAACATAATTCTAAATCACGTAAATTTTCAGTTTTGATGGGCAATCATATGAATCTATAGCCTCTAAAACATGGTATTTTGTTGTTCATTTTCCTCATTAATTAAATGCCGATAAATATAATAAATTCTGTTAATATATTTCAAAGAGCATTAATTTTTTTGAATGATGACAGTTTAATTCTAGTTGGTGATTTAAACATGTCTCGTTATTTCAACTTTAAAAAACGATTATCTCAAGCAAACTAATGATTTCAGTAAACATTTTCTCTCAATATTTCAACATTATGCAGATTGATTGCGTTCTTGATTTAACTTTTAGTTTTCCAGAAATTTCTGACGCCAAAATGTATTGATCCAATATTTCGTGAAGACAGGTTTCAATCTGTCCTCGAAAGTACTGTTGAGCTTAAAATTGAAAATACTGAATTTTTATACCAACAAGCACCAGATAGGATCGGGACCTCCAGAGCCTATCGGTCTAGGAGGGAGAAAAGTTCACCTTTTCACAGTCCTGACTGAACGAGTGCACAATAACTGAACGAGGGCCACTGCTTAAACGAGTGTCTACCGGTTTTTTGATCGGTAGACCGACGGCCCAATCCGACATTGACCAGATATAACTTTCGTACAACTATATCTGGATCTCTCTCATATTAACTGGAATAACTTTCTATTAAAATCGAATATTAACAAACTATCACTCTTTTGTTTTAAAACTGAGACAGCCACGACTGCAAAAGTCCCAAAAACTAAAACTAAAAAACCTTTTATAGCTGCAGTTTAAAAGAACTAATATCAATGTTATTTAATCTGCATTAGAAGAATAGAAAAACAGATCTAATTTTGGTCTTATTTGTACTTAAAGAAACCAAAGATATTGAATAGAAATAGATATGCCTTGTATCTAAATCTGGAACGTATGGAGGCCTCACTAGGCCCATTGCGCATCCTCCTAAGATGATAGGCACCTCCTAGCTCGTCAGCCAGCCTACAGATTTATTGTAGTTGACAACATCGCCAAGAGGTACTTCTCTTATATCGGTCGGTGTTAGCCGATACTCGCCGAATACACATCTTCTAATAAATAAAAGAGTCGAGCAATCGTAAAGGATATGCTCGATGGTCTTATCTTATTGTTCGCAGAGTGCGAATTCTGACAGCCCCATGATATGAAGATGCTTTCGTACTTGGCAATGACCAGTCAGAATGTCTGTGACTTGGCTCAGATTCTGTCTAGTCATATTCAAGTATTTGTTTGCTGTAGTGTTGTCAGGATAACTTAAGAGCTTTCTGGCAACTCTGCAGTTTCTTGTTTCATCTCATCTTTCCTTTAATTTCACAAGGGAATATTTTTTAATTAGGTTTGTCAATACCGATTTTGTCAGGTCCAAAAAGTACTTGGTTGGTTAATTTCTTGGCTAGTAAATCAGCAAGACGGTTACCTTTCGATGTAGCGTGACCTTTGATCCATCTTAGCTTGACCACATTGTTCATGGATACTTCGGCCAAAGCTTCGTGACATTCTAGTACTAACCCTGAGTAAATTCGTCATCTATTCAGGATGAGTAGTGCTTGTCTGCTATCTGTATAGATGAGTATGTTCCTTCCAGTGATATTGTTTCTGGTGATTTCTTTTGCTGCTATCACAATCCCCGTTAGCTATGTTTGAACTACACTGGCACCATTGCTCACAGCTTATTTTATGTTTAGGTTTAAGAATCTGAAGTATATTCCACATCCTGAGCCTTTTTTTGTTTTAGAATCGTCGGTGTAGATATGAATCGTACCTGCTACTTCCGGCTCTTCTATTTGTTCTGTTATAACTTGATATGGCTTATGGAAGATATATCTCCACGTTCGCCATTATATTTTTCAACTCCCAAAACCAGTGGATTAAAATATTCACCACTACAAATAATGAGTGAAAATTACTGCAAGATGCTGAATTCACTGTATATTGTCTGACCAGTATTGAAAAGAAAATTTTGAGGTTCTAAGTACGTTCGCAAACGTATAAAAAATATTGAATTTTTGAGTATTATTTAGAAATGTGGTATTAAAGGAAATAATTTTATGTAAGCACATCGTATATAAAAAAGAACAATAATTTAGCAGGAAAAACTTTTACCTGTATGATAGGATAAAAAAAAAGGTATATTGTCCGCTTATGCGAGAGTAACAAGCTGCTACGGACGTATATATGAGAGAGGGTAAATGGAAATTCAGAGACAATGACTTGTGATGAAAGAAACCAATTAATCCAGGAAAGGTCGCAGTAAAAAGTTAGGTTAGATTATACCCTTAAATAAAACTAAAATGACTTACAATTACTATTACAATTTGTATCGTAAATCATTGGCAGCTCATGAGGCGTATGCTGATATGGTTGTCCATACAGTTGCACGGTAAATCGGTTTTTCTAATGGGACAGAACATGGCATCATTTTTTCCACCATGATCAATCATGATAAGTTGAGTAATTTAGAAGTAGAGTAATCGATTACCATTTTCCTAATGACATATTTTATTGTGGTGTTTATAGCATTAAGTCTGAAGTTTTTATGTTCTTGTGGTGTTTGTCTATTCTAACTTATATTTTTGTAATTCAGTTTTTGTCAAAATTTCCTAATAATAACTGGAATTACCTGTTGAGCAGTGTAACAATAAAAAATAAATAAATAAAAATAAAATTTATTTTACGAGAGATAAGATTTGATTAAGCGAGGTTCCGAGAAACAATAAATAATATAATGAATGTCCAATAATTTACATCTAGGTATTTTCAACCGTTTTATTAAACGTATAGTTGGTCCATGTTGCACTTATTTGACTTTATGATAAAAAGTCATTTTTATCACAAGTTATTAAAGAAAAATAACTAATAATACTGTTGAAAATATTCTTATTCTTATGGTGTTATTCCCTGTTTAACTGCGTTCGCCCATAGAAATCTGCCGTATATGCGCGATTGACTTTAAACCAAGCTTTCGGGAAAAATATGCTTCATGGCATTAATTTTAATATTGAAAACCGTTCATGAAGTGTGTCTAGGGGTTGTAAAGACTTCTTAAGAAACGGAGTGGTTCTAAAGTACTTGAAAAATGACTTTTGGTATCTAAACCACATATAATCGCGTTGACTTAGCTAGGAATTTTCTTTAAAACTAAACATATTTACATGTCTTCCCGTTACAACCCGTACAACCAAGGGCGTACCCAGGATATGAACTAGGGGGGCAGGCCAATAAAAAAAGCACAACAATTTTTCTTTCTATTTTATTAGTTATTAATAATCACATTCTATACCAATAAGTAGCAAACATTTTATTGCAATAACAGTCTTCTTGGATTTGTAGCAAAATGGTTTAAAACGGTTTTTTCGAATTGCTCATTTCCAATTGCAACATTTCCTTTCCCATAGTACTTCTCAGCCAGGTCTTTACTTTTCGAAGTGTGCTAAACGATCGTTCTACAGTGGCTGTAGTACGTGGGATTGTAATCAAAATCAAGAGTGCCTGTCTTATGATGGAGTAAAAAACGTTGGCTTCGCTAAGAAGGTCTATGATTTTAATATCCTTTATCTTGTCCTCAGTTATCTTTTTATTTTTCCACAAGTTATACCATAGTTCATTTTCTGCGGTCATGTCTTCTAATTGATAAAACTGTGTAAACTAACGAGTGTTTTCTTTTACATGACTGATATCCATGTTGAGCATGTACAGAGGATGTAGTTTTGTTAGGGCAAAAGCTGGGGTATGTTCTTGGGAAAATCGACTATTTAACGATGATAATATTAAATCTAAATATGGTATAATTAACGGACATTTCCAGTAGTCACTATCAGAGTCTAATGGATAATTGCTTCTGTGTATTTGCTTGTTGTCAAGTCGAGGGATGGAAATTTCAATTTCCAATTCCCTGACAAGGTCTTGTGCTTTTATAATAATTTCAGCAGTAACTAGGTCGGCGTCTTGACGATTTTTGTTTAGTACATTAAGGATTACGTTAATATGTTCTTGCAACTGGATCAAATCGATACTTAGTGCTTGCAGAGCATTAAGTACCGGTTCTAGTAAAGCTGAGTGTTTTGCTACTATAGTTAGAGCAACAACTAATGAGGATTTGGTAACGGCTGAGTGCAGCTGGTATGCAGATTTTCTCGTGGTTTCCTTCGGTAAATTGTTTTTCAAGTGCTTTGACAATCTCCGGGAAATTTTGTGCAAATAATCGAATACTTTTATATTTTTCAGACCATCTTGTCTCACATAGTCGTGAAAGTTCAGGTGCAGAATTCCTCCGAGTGGTGGATTTTCTAAAAAAGTTTATAATATCCTTCACCGTGCCAATAGTGTTTCTAATTTTTGCAACATTATTTGTGTCATTGACAACAAGATTTATCTTGTGGCTTGAGCAATGGAAAAATAATGCTTGCGTGTACTTTTTTCTTAAAATTGCTTGCACGTCACCCTCTTTACCCGCCATTGTAGCGCAGCCATCAAAACCAAGTCCTACACAATTTTGTGGTAAAAAATTATAGCTGACCAAAATATTATCGATTGCTTTGGCAATCGTTGAGGCATCTTGTGCTGTTAGCTCCACAAAACCCACAAATTCTTTTCGAACTTTTTCTTTACTTTCATCGTAGAAGCGCAAGCCAATTGAGAGTTGTTCCTTTCCCGATATGTCAGCTGTTTCATCGGCTAAGACTGTGTAGACCATGGCTTTCTTAGCAGCATTTATCACATCCCCTCTAATAACTTCGCCACATATATTTATCAATTGGTTTTGTATTTTTGGTGAGGTATAAACTGCATTCCTATGAAATTTCTCTAAATGACTCTTTAATTTTATGTCGCCAGATTAAATTCTTAAATTCATCAGATCTAAAAAAACTCCCTTATCTGCTTCTTTGCTTTTAACAGCCAAATTATGGGTGCCACAGAAGACTATGCAGGAAATAATTGATGCCAGTATTTGCTTGTTCTCTTCAATTGTTTTTTGGTGAAAACTTTGTAGCTGAACTTTCACAGGCAGATTTTCGAGAAAGGCTTTTGCAGCAGCTGATGAAGTTTTGTGAAAGTTAGTAGTGACATGTTTACGGCAATCTTCGTGCATATTCTTAAACTTCGTGAATAGTCTGATCATAAATGAACCTAACACTCTCCTTACGGGTCCAGTGGAAGGGGGAAATAAAAGACAGTGCTTGCAGAGAGCACCCTTTAGCCGCTTGGAATAAACTAACCATGGTGTATATTGATCTAACCAGGCATGGTTAAATTTTCTTCGCAAATGACTTGCATCGGTTATAAAATCGTAGTCTTTGCTCGGAATCCACGGATTTTGTAATAGATACTTCTTTTTTTCTATCGTCAGGTGAAATTTTTGCCCTACATAACGACCCAGGTCATTTTCGTGGCAGCCATTATTCTCATTAATTGTGGGAATGTCTACAGAGGCAGAAGTTGACGGCAAAGATTCAAGACCGGGAACAGATATGTCCGTAGAAACTAAAGATGCTGACGGCTGTTCAGGCCTTATTTTAGATGAGCTTGGCGATATAATTTCATCATTATTTTTATCGCTCTCGCTGCTACTGCCACGTTCTTTTTTCCTCTTAAAAGTTGTAGTCGCTGGAAAACATCAAAAAAATCTTTATTTGTATTTTTATATAGTGTGATTTCATGAAGCTAAACTTATATTTTCGGTGTTAAGTAACTACACAAATAAACGTTTTACAGGCCAATTTACAAAATATATATTTTTTGTTTCTCACATTTTCTGCCAAGATAATGATTATTTCAGCACCATGCTTATAACAGCTTACACGTACCTACACAACAAAAGTATAGAAAAATAATTTAGATTGAGAATGTAACTTACCTGTTTAAAAAAATTTCCTGATATCCATTTAATATTGTTAAGATCGCACGGAATACATATATTTTGATAACTGTGCACTATCACTTGCTACAATACAGAATATCTCTTTTACTGCCTATTATACGCTGGTAGTGCCTAAACACGTGTGATTGCAATGTTCTGGCGTAGTCGGTTCTTGTCCAAACTAGAAACGGTAGGTGCGTGTCTATACAAGAAGATGCGCCACAGCCCCAAAAAGTGGTGAAGCCTCCGCTTGTCCAAACGGCCCACAAGGTGCCACCGATGCCAAATGTCCAGTCTGTAAAACAGATCTTTGTAACTCAGCTTCGTCGGTCAACTTCAGCTTGGCTGCTGTAGCTAGTATCTTGTTAGCCTTCTTGGGGCAAAAATATTTGTTGTAAATCACAATTTTTTATATATAAATTATTTATAGATGGGATGTATTTCAAAATAAGTGTTTAGAGACTAAAATTAAATTGTATTTTTTTGGTAAATGTATCCTAGTTCCAATAAGATGGCAAATTCTCAATATTACATAGTTAAAAATAAAATAGATACTCAAAAAGTACGAAAATATTTCCAAATTTCAGAAAGTCTTCCCGCTTAATAAATAATACTACCTATTGAGAATTTGTTTTAAATGTAATAATATATGTGAGAGCTTCTGTAATAATGTTATTACCGTTAACTATTGTTTAATAAGGAATTCTGGTCATTCTGAATAGACCGGGTGATTTACAAATTTTTTCGATTTTGTTTTGGTGTAGTCTGTAAATTTGTAATATATACAATAGTGGTTTATTTTTTTATATTTTCCACACTTTTGATGTATGATTTTTATGTTTTATTATAAAATTCCAAGGTCTAGGGAGGGGGCATTAGCCCCCCTGCCCATAGCTAGGTACGCCCTTACGTACAACCAACACAGAAAAATATTGAAACACATCATACTTCAAAATATTGTTTAGTTTTCTTGAAAGCTTGGTTTAAAATTATAATGATTTTTTTTATGAAAACACAATTATGTGATATATTACGTGACATAGCGGAAAGGTTTGAAGTTAAAATCATTTTTAAGTATTTTCTTTTAACAATTTTGTAAAAAAAAAAGATAAACAGTTTTCGAGATATGGCCAGACGCCGCCCTTAAGGCAGAAAATTCATATAAATGTATGTCTTAAACAATTTTAAAAGTTTTTTACCTTCATCCGTTAACCCTTTACACACTACTGGCTAAATATTCTCTTTTTATGCATTACAATACGCGACCAAGTTTCAACTAGATACTAATTTGTGACTACTGGGTATTTAGGAAATAATTTTTGAACACCCTTTAATTTTCAATTTTATAGGAGGTGAGCCAAATATGGAATATGTTCCTAAGTGCAACGTATAACTGTCTCACAATTTATTCTAATTTTTTTATAAAATCGAATATTTTGCATGTATGTATTAACAATATTATGGTATTATGGGGATTATCAACTACCAACTTTTTGTGTAGAACATATGTTTGTATATAACATAAGCTCTTTATTTTCATATAGCACATATAACTAGTGTTAGGGTTAATGTATGAATATAATAAGAAAAATTAAAATTGCGATGTACCTAATATGGAATTGTGAGGAGACCATAATTTGAAATCCACTGGATAAGAATGTCACCTGTTTCTATTGTAATTGAAAGGTTGGTACTATTCCGACTGTTCAGATCATGAAACTGGTATATTTTTGTAAAGGAGTTTGAACACGTTCTTCCGATATATCCGATGCAATTTTTTTATATTGATTGATGTGATTTTTTCATATATCTTAAAAGTGTTTTGTTTTATTTTTCTTTGAAACATGTTCCATATAAGGACATATTTCGTATAAACTAGAAAATTATAATTTTCTATAGAATATTTTTTTGTAACTCCTTAATAATAGATTTAATATCAATAAAAAAGAGGGGGTGTTATGAAAAATTATGAGTTTAATATGTACAAAAACAAAACGGTATTCCATATTTGGCTCACTTCCTCTACTACATTACCTTAAATAAATAAAGAAAAACTCGATACCCAAATTTTAACGCTTGCCACTCTTACTAGCATGACACCTTCTTTTCAGTTTTGAAATCTGACAGACTTGCACATGTCGTGGTCTTGTCAACAGGTGGCATAGGTTATATATCTATGTTTGCATATATTACATCAGCGTTAACAGGTGATACTTATCATTGTCACCTTGTCTCGAAGTGAAAAGGGAAAAAGAGGTTAAATATTAAAAATAAATATGAAAATGTTTGAAAGAGAAGCACAAAATATAAAGAAATTAAATAAATTTTTTATAAAGAATAATGATAATTTATTTCAGATTGTATTAGAAAATATGATATACCTCAATTTCTTCGACTTTAAAATAAATGATTAACAAGAAAAAATTAAATGAACATAATCAAATAAATAAAATAGAAATGTTTTTCATAATAAATTTTGTAGGAGAAAATATAAGATTCTACAGAATAGTATAGAATGGTTATTTGTTTAATTAGGCAGAGAAGTAACAGATTTACTGCCGTAGCAGTTTATTGCCAAAGCAAAGCCATGGCAATTAAACTAGCCAAGATAGTAAATCTGTTTCTCTGTTGTATGAAACATACTTTTTTCTACGATTGTTTGTACAGTCTGTTTAAAAAAATGGAATTAAAATGATAAGCTCTATTAAATATATTGTATAAAACTCACTCATTTTTAGTATTTATTCAAATCGTATGATTTTTGTTTAAACTATTTTACATCGTTAAATCGTATTTTATAATTTTCGATTAGACTACACATATCTAATAAAAGATAATATAATATTGAATAATATGCACCACAATTGCGTGCACAGTGAAGGTTATAATTGTTTGATTCCATGGCCCTGCTTGAATCACCTTATCAGTTCCGTTACTAAGCAAATGGTTGCTATGTACAATTTTGTAAATTGTTTAATTAAAATATACTTATAGTAACTTGTAGTTAATTTATTATAGTAATTTTTATGGCCACCCGGCTGATGAAGAGCAAGTCTTCAAAAAAAGAAAAAGTAAATTTTTAAATGCCTAGGCAGTAAAAAAGATTTTTAATTCCTAGTCAGTAAAAGTATTACTTCTATGATCGAAAAATGTCACGAAATATTCTAGAAATTTATTTTACATTTTTGTTGCAGGTCAGTTGGTTTTCGGTGTTCTCCACAGCTAGACTTAATTGGTAAGAAAAAATTAATATCTAGTGCACTACATAAAACGTTAATCATGATATCAACTTTACACTGGATTCTTCACTTTCAAACTAAATTTCTGAAGACCTAGGCGTCGCAAAATGTATTTCATTTTAACAATGAGGTGCTTTGTTGATTTAACAGACGTCGCTTTCACAAAAACAATAAAGAAAGATGGTATTCATTTTAGAAAGTTTCAAATTTTATCTCTTCTTAATTTAGGTAGCCATAAGTGGGCACTAAAAAAAGCAGGACTTTGTGAAGCTAGGTCTGTAAACGAAAGTGAAGAGTAAAGCCAATAAAATACGGTGTTCTCCAGGATATTGTTCAGAACCTTTTGTATTTAACTCCGATCTCTGTTACATCGGTCCATAATAGTAGAATTCAATAATTCTTCTAGTAAAGTAACCTATCTAACAGCTCTTGGACTAAATGTACTTTATACGGATGACACTTTTTCTATTTTAGCATCATTACGATTTGCTTCAGCTGGTATGGGAATTTTCTTGAAACGTAAGTATCGCGTTATGTTTTTTATGTTCAAATATTGAATTTTTATCACTTTTAGGAATATCTTCAACATGACTCTTT